TATAAATTTAAAAAAAATTTAAAAGTATGAATAGTAAAAATAATAAAAGTAATTATAATAATAATTATTATTCATCATAATTTAGTTGACTTAATTCAAATCCACTGAAATACTGTTACCTTATTCATCATCATCTCGGCTCAACTTAGTTTAGACAGTATTATATGTTCATTGGGTGGGTGATTTAATTATTTGGTGAGCTAGTTGTGCGTGTGTGTGTGCGTGTGTGTGTGTGTGTGGATGCGTGTGTGTGTGTGCGATGTGTGTGTGTGTGTTAAAGTATTTAAAACTGCTTCAAATAAAGCTTATAACACTCCTAATAATAGCAGAGAATGCCATAAATTTCATTACATTTGCATTTGTTATGCATCAAAACACAAATTACTTCAGAATTTTTTAAATCAATCAATCAATTAACTATTCGATCAATTGAGCACCTACATAATTAATTATTTAATTAATTGATCGACTAATTTATTGATCAATTAATTAATTTTAATTTACTCTCAGAAAATCTTTCCACTCTTCCTCTCAGTAAGCAAACAAACGAGGAATCCAAATATTAGAGTAGAACCAAGTGTGATCATGTTCTTGCATACTCTGCACTGCATTATATTAATTAATACGCTCTGCACACACACACACACACACACACACACACACAGTGAAAGCGTATGTGGGGATTGGAGTGATTGGGTGTCCAATGGTTGAATGAATGCATGAACGAACGAACGAATAAATGAAAATATGAATGAATGAATGAATGATTGAATGAATGAACGAACGAACGAATGAATGAATGAATGAACAAATGAATGAACGAATGAATGGAAGAACGAACCAACGAACGAATGAATGAATTAATTATGTGCATCAATATATCTCCATTATTATTATTATTATTATTATTATTATTATTATTATTATTATTATTATCCCCATCATCATCATTCTGTTCTTCATCATCATCACTCTGATCATCATCATCGTCGTCGTTGTCGTCCACTTCAAAATGATGACAACCGCAAGCAAGCAGACACACGTGCTACCGTCCCAGAGACAAATGTCTCAGATGTAATTCGAACAAACAACAAGAAGACGCATAACATTAATATAGAACAAACATACGCTGCGTATCCTACGAGCTGGGAGCATAGAATTAGAATAAATTACAAATAAATTTTAAAAAATAATCCTTTGAAAATTAGTAAAATAAATTATGTAGAAAAAATATTAATCACAACATATATATAATATAATCAGATTGATACTGCCCCAACAACAATCAATTCAATGTGTGTGTTTGTGTGTGTGTGTGTGTGTGTTTAAGTGTTGGTATGAACCCGTTTTAATGAACAAGCCATGGTTAGGCATGCAATTGTTTCCGAGTTCTGGTCACGCACAGAAATTTTAATTTAATTTTTGTAATAAAAGTAAAAGTGTTTGTTTTAAGTAATTGCCTTCATTAGGGTCACCCGTTATATTAACTACTTTTCTTATTAATTCTTTAATAAATAATGATGTGTGCTTATCTGTATATGTTTGTGTTGTGTGTGTGTTTGTGTGAGTGTATGTTTGTGTGAGTGTGTGTGTATAATTCGACAATTATTAATGTCGCAAACACACACACGAGCTTAAATTTATGAATGGCCATAATGTCGCTACACCAAAATAATGAACAACAGTGAGTTAATTTATCTCGCTCGCTCGCTATTCAACCTCACATTTCATACTTTTACATTTACAAATTAGCTTGGTTCATACAAATAACTTGAAATTATTGGGTATCGAGAACAAGGAAAAACCCTAAACAAAAAAGGCACATTATAGATAAAATATTAGTTCAGTTGTTTCATATTACAGCTTTTGTGGCGAAAGATGAATACTTCAAAATAATGGCTGAAGATATGAAGAACATAATCTATATATGCAACATTGTAAGTGGTTCTGCGCGTGTCAGAGCTGCAATAATAAAGACTAAAAAAAAAATTTGTGTGGCATCGTTTAAAAATACCAAAGGATTTGTATCCGTGTGTATCGCCGGTAAAACATTCAAAAATCGGCATTGGCATCGGATAAGTATTTTAATATCGGTATTCAGAGTATTGTTAACCCTGTTAGCCTATATTTAATGATAAAAACGTTTTAGAAACTCCACAATGACTTGTAAACTTTTAACAATTATAAAGGTGTATTCATTATCTTCAAATTGTTTGAAATGATGTATCTAATACATCACAATTAAATGTTATATTTTAGTTAATGAAGTTAATAATAGAGAACACTTTGTAAAATGTTACCTGAATTTTAACCTCATAGCCTGGACCGAAAGGGGCAGAGTCCGAATAGTCCTTTGTAAAAACGAACCCGGACGATAAAAGAGTTGATGTAGACATTCATGGCCAATGTTCGCAAACAAACAAGTTAATTTTTATACAACTTGTGTATAAAGTACTTTTAAAATCTAAAATGATTGATACCGGTATGAATGTTGAGTTTTTGGCTTCTTCTTACGTTTATAGCTATGGTTGGCTTAACATTTTGGAGCTTATTCCATACGTAAATTATTATTTTTTTAATTTAAATTATTCATTATGCTAATTGTTTTAATAGATCGGTTTGTGGACTTTAGATAATTAATTCATTTTGTATATTTAAATAAATTGACGGCCTTTGTTCAAGGGGGAGACTCAGATTTAATAAAATTCTTTGTTCACTTATTTACAACTTCTTTGTTCGAAGCATGCTTTTGCTTGTAAAACCACGTGGTTGTTCGCTGTATAGTATTGTATAAATAGTGACTTTTCTCGTGTTAATATCAGTTTGTAATCGAAAATAAAATTTATGTATTAATATTCAATAGTAATAGTTTAAAATGGATAAATTGTGTACACTCGGAAAGAAAAAGAGTCTTGAAAATATCGGAACATTTGTTCTGATTTCAAAAACAGGTGATCAATAGATGTTTATTTCATCAGGTCAGTGGGTACTATCGCGCTCTAGTCAAAAGTGGAATGGGGGATTCGCATTCTACAGAACTAAAGTTCGAACATTTGACAAGTGAGTGCTTACTCGAGGTCCAGAGATATTTGCACGAACTGCAGAATGACGAAGAAGTAATGGACCGACGTATCAAATCATTGGAAGAAGTGGAGGAAGAATTAGACGGAGCCTATTATCTGCAAATTAGTGGTTTAGTTTTTTATCACACTCGTATTTTTTTGAAACTTTTGAACGAAAAAACATGGCAGCGTATTTTAGAATTTGTGAAAGGGTACGCGCTAAGTAAGACTGCTGAGAAGATATTGAATTTTGTCGGTCAGAACTTCAACGTGTTTGCGAAGCAAGCAGAAATGCTATCATTGTCACCAAATGAAGTGGCTTATTTGGTCAAATCAGATTTTGTGAATGCGAACAGAGAAATAGATATTTTAAATTTTGTCATCAGTTGGATTTGTTTCGATCAATCGAGGGCGATTCACGCAAAAAATATTTTGACTGAAGTTAGGTACAGTCTGATGACATACAGTGAAAAGCAAAGATGTAGTTCTTTACTGAGACAGCTCGGGTTTGATGTTTGTCAAACCGGACACCAAGTAAGATTTCGTAACGGACTCGATGTTTTGGTGGCTTTCGGCGGTCCTTGTATAGTAACTCGACATTCTGTTCAAATGCTTCTCGTCGGTAACATATTTAAAACTTGCCGAAAGAAAAACAACACCGATAAAAATGAAAGGTCCGAAAATAATGACGTCATCAAATTTGAAAACAGCGGCCTCAGACTGCCTCACACCTGTCGTCATTACGGAGTATGTGCTGTGGACGACTGCTTGTACGTTGCTGGCGGCTGGAAAAATTCCAATACAACAAACCTACTTCATGCTTTCAATCCTGTCTATTTGGTTTGGAAACGTCGCTCAAAAATGCTTGTTCCAAGATGTTCATTTTACTTTGGAAATATTGGAAAAACTTTTATATGCAGTTTCAGGCGATACAACGGGTCAAAATAACACTCCAACGGTTGACAAATACTTCGGGAACGAAGATCGGTGGGAGATGGTGGCCCCCCTGCCAGTTGCAGTTAGAGATTTGGCAGGATGTGTCCATGAAAACAATTTATTTGTCAGTGGTGGCCTGGCAGATTCCAATACTGATGTGAATTTTGTTTGGCGGTGCAACCCCGCTGGCAACGAGTGGAGCTCCGTTACTCCCCTGCTGAGGGCACGTAGCTGCCACGTTATGACATGTTTTGGAAACAAGTTGATTGTTGTCGGAGGGATGAAGACGCACAGCATCGACTCAATAGAAACATTGGAAAATGTAGAGGCATACAGTTTCGAATCAAAACAATGGTCGTTTGTCTTGAATTTAAAAATGCCTGCGTGTCGTTCCTCATCTGTTCTCATAGGAAATTCAACCCTTCTCTTTGGGGGGTTATGTTACAGAGGGCAGAACAACAGTTACCATAACTTTCTGCAGATTATCAATTTAGCCAAATATTTGAAAGAAGAAAATGCGAATGCATCTCATGTAGTGAAAGAAAAGATTTCAAATCGCCAGCTTGAAGTTTTTCCAGCCTTCGATGATGAATCTGACCAGATCGAACTTGACTTGAGTAGCGGTTATGAAGTTTACAAGTATGAAGGTTCGGATTATTTCTTTTCCACAATGCACTCCATGAAACTGACAGAGAAATTTTTAACACAAGGATGTTAATTTTCGTTTTTATTAATTTGTCTTCTATTGTTGACCACTGACGAGTAATTGGATACCTTGTAAATAGTAACTCTGAATCGTTTAACTTTCATTGTACATTCTATAATTAATAATATAATTAAATAAATATGATATAATATAATTAAATAATCAGTGTATCTACAAATGTTCAAACTCATTTTTAATGATAGAATTCTTTTTTTTTTCACAAACTTTGTAAAAATTTAAAAAATTTCTTTTCTTGGTCAACGAACACGGGGTTGCGTTATTAATTTTTAATAGTAGATTGCCAGCAAAAATTCCCACAAGTAACAACCACTAAATCGAGATTATTACTCATTTCTGAGCTAAAGTTTAGACCGCTTTGTTCTCCGCAAGTACTCTTTTTAAAAGAAACAAAATAATTTTTACTCCTGTCGCAAATATTTTCGTGTAAACCTAAAGAAGTAAACATCTTATGTATGTATGTACGTAAAACATTATACATTTATTTAGTGGCTGGTAGGAAACAAACATAAACAAACACCTGTGTATGAATTCATATATAGAATAAATATACACAAACGCATACATGTCTACATAGAGGTTCATATAAATATTACTTAGTATACACATGTGTGTTTTTATACGAAGCAATTGATGATTTGATAGGTTTACTCACTGAGACTAACACTGAAAGATAGCGTGAGAATGTGCTGTAAGAGTGCATGAATGAATACGTGGGTCATCAGTGTAAGTGAATGGGTGCGTGATTGAATGAATGAATGATTGAATGAATGAATGATTGAATGAATGAATGATTTAATGAATGAATGATTTAATGAATGAATGATTTAATGAATGATTCAATAAATGAATAAATACACGAATGAACAAAACTTAATAATAACAATAATAACATCTAAAGCAATGAACAAGTTTTATTTAGGAACGAATAAACCAACAATATATTGAGGAATTAATAAAATTGAATTATTATGCACCAAAATGATGGTGGTTTGTTTAAACCAAAATTCAGCTGAGCAAATAAAAACTGCTGTTGGCTCGTAAAAACAGGTCTTAGCGCATTTAATTATTTTCGCCTAAGAAAGATTGTTTGTTTTATTAATTGCTATTTGCTTGAATAATATTTTTTGATATTTGCCATTTTAATTTTGGTTTTAATTTATCATTTTTTTTTATAATCTCTAAAACTGGCAAAGTTCATTTTTGTGTGAAATCTGTATTGTAACATTCGGCTTGCCTAGTTGTAAGAGGAGTTGAAAGAATTTCTTGGCAGCTACATGCAAAAATAAAATGTTATCCGTGTAATAATTAGATTTTTTTTTTGTAAAACATACATAATTAATAACCGTTTAAAAGAAACAGAATAAAAATAATAAAACTTCAAAGCGAATCACGAACATTAAAAAAAGCCTTATCGACAATACAATTACGGTGATGAACATTGTAGTGATGATAAAAAATGATGATACAAACTTTGATGATGTTATTCTATATACAAACATGGATGTTGGTATCAGTGATACAAACAATGATACAGATAATGGTATCAGTGATACTGACAATGATACAGATGATGGTATCAGTGATACTGACAATGATACAGATGATGGTATCAGTGATACAGGCAATGATACAGATTATGGTATCAGTAATACAAGCAACCACATCAATGATACAGATGATAAGGAAATTGAAAATTTGTCATGCTGTCCAGCAAGCCGAAACTTCACATATTCTAAATTCATTTTCAATTTTTTATATATAAATTGTTCTTATTCGTACCTACATACAGCCTCAGTTGCAGAATAACTAAGTTAAAAAACCATTTTGGAGCCATCGAGTCAAGACACCGACATACATTTTCCAAAAAAAGACTTCGAAATAAAAAAGTCAAGATTAACTACACACATCAGTACTGGCTGTTGGCGATTGCGTAATAACGAAACTAGGCCAGAAACTATAGTACTATAGTTCAATTCCTGTGACATTTCAAAATGTACAACAGATGACATTTGTTTTATTTATTGAATACTAATCACTCAGCTGAGAGCCACAGAAACTTGTTTCTTGGTTTATCCCACCCTTACCTTCGTAATAGCCAACGAACGTGACGAGAAGAAATAGAAGAAAAAATACGTGTTTGAAGATTTATGCAAGAGGCACATTCACACGCACACAAACACATCCACACAAACACATACACACAAACGCATACACATAAACACATACACACAAACGCATACACACATACACACACACACAAATACATACACATAAACACATACACACAAACACATACACATATACACACAAACGCATACACACATACACATACACACAGATGCCTACACACATATGCACACACACAAATACATACACACACACACACACACACACACACGCCTATTGTATATTTGTCGATATGAGGATGATTCATTCTGCTAAACAACAACAGCAAGCAGATAAATATGCGACTTGGTGTAATGAATTAATTGAAATTAATTAATTGAAATTATTAATAATTAATTGAATTAATTAATTGAGTAAATAATGATTAAGGCACACGTAAACCCGACCTACCCGGCCACAACTCAATACAGTGCTTCCACTGTTGCTTCGTTCGTTGAATTCGAAAGTGAAATACTTTTTTGAAATAAAAATACTTTTTTGAAATAAAAATTTCCCATCCCATTTTTTTGACCATGCCAGCAGAATTACATCTGCAAACGATGTTAATTGAATTGAAATTTAAGCGTCACACACACACGCACGTACGCACACTCACACACACACACTCACACACATACATACATCCACACACGCACACACACTCACACACACATACACATACATACATTCACACACATACATTCACACATACATACACACACATACATACACACACATACACACACACACATACATACACACTCACACAAACATACATACACACACATATACACACACGCACACACACACACGCACACATACACTCTCTCATACACTCAAATATCCGGACGAATATTAGCACAGTTCGAATTTATCAATGAATCAAACTAAGACACTATTCCACATCCACTGTTGACGAATCGATAATGAGCTACTGTTTAACGAGTAATAACAACAAATTAATTGAATTAATTAAAGAAATGAATAAATGGATAAACTAATTAATTATCTAATTAACTATTATTGACAGCAATTACGATGATAATGTATTACAGCTACTTACGTCAGCAAATATGAACAATAACAATAGTAAATTAATTGAATTAATTAATTGAGTGAATAATGATTAATAAATAATTAAGAGGGTTAATATGAACAATAACAACAGTAAATTAATTGAATTAATTAATTGAGAAAATAAGGATTAATTAATAATTAAGATGGCTAATCACAATAAAAAGTAATGGGGCCTTAATTGAATATAGCACGTGTAATTAATTAACCAATTAATTAATTGTGTTAACACAAATCGAAATAAAACATATTTTTACCTTTCTGTGTAGATAGGATGGAGGTGATGATTCTAATGTGTGCGATTTAATGTGATGGTGAGGACGATGATGAAATGGTTAGTGGTGTTGCTGAAGCTGTTGTTGAAATTTTGTTGTTGAAACTTGTTTAGAAAACTTGTTGTTGAAACTGTTGTAGAAATTTGTTGTTGAAACTGTTGTTGAAACTTTTGTTAAAATTTGTTGTTGAAACTTTTGTTGAAATTTGTTGTTGAAACTGTTGTTGAAACTTGTTGTTGATGTTGTTGGAACTGTTGTGGAAACTTGTTGTTGAAACTGTTGTGGAAACTTGTTGTTGATACGTTGTTGTTGTTGTTGTTTGTTTAAATAACTGACATCTTTTATAATTAAGTCAATATTCCTTTAGGTTTTGGAAGTTGAACGGAAAATGATTATTTTGTTGATGTTGTTGTTTTTTAGGTTTATGTTGATGTTGTTGTAGATGTTGTTGATGTTGTTATTGATGTTGTTGTTGATGTTGTAGTTGATGTTTTAGGAGTAGTAATTGTTGATCGAGTTGATTACATCAAGTCTGTTGATATATTTTTAATGTCATGCAGTCCAATTTTTGTTGTTGTTGTTGCTGCTGCTGCTGCTGCTGTTGTTGTTGTTACTTTCACTACATAATTTATGAGATATGGTAGAGTTTGTTGCTAGTACAAAGCAATGTTAATACGTCAGTTGTAAAACAAAATATAATTGAGTATGTCTGCGTGTGTTTGTGTGTGCGTGCGTGCGTGTGTGTGTTTGTTTGTGTGTAAAACAAAATATAATTGAGTATGTCTGCGTGTGTTTGTGTGTGCGTGCGTGCGTGTGTGTGTTTGTTTGTGTGTGTTTGTTTGTGTGCGTGTGTGCGTGATGCGTGTGTGTTTGCTTATGTGTGCGTGTGTGTGTGTATCAACCTGAGCTGCTTTATACAACTGACAACTGTATTGTTAAGGTTGTCATATAATAAGTTATGAAAACGCATGTTTATATGTTTGGAATGAATAAATAATAAATATTAAAATAAATAATTAATTAATTAAAAACAATTAGTAAACTGAAATACCCAAAGAGAGAAAACTTAAATACTTAAAATGCAGCGCAGATGTAAATGTTAGTTGAAACTTTAAAAATTGTCGCAAATTTTTGACTTCGAAATATTTTCAATGCCCTACTAAACCAGATGCAAACACAATCACCTTCGATATATATATATATATATATATATATATATATAAATATAATATATATATAATATATATATATATATATATATATATATACAATACATATATACACACACACACACATAAATTATACAAGACAACAAAAGACGAACACGCGAACACACATATAAACACACACACACATAAACACACACACACACTTTAGTACATACACACGCACACACATGCATGCATACACACAATCACACACGCATAGTTAGGCAGCATATACACATGCAAACACACATTGACACACACACAGACACACACACACAACACACGTATCTAGGCGAGGCAGTTAATTTATTTTGTAAGAAAATAAATTTTTTTTATTTTATTGCAATGACTAATGTTCACAAACAGCAAACAACAACAGCTCAACAACAATAATAATAATATTATTATTATTATAATTTTTTTATTATTATTATTAACAACAATATCGAATGCACGCATTATTGAAAAAAAAGCTTTTGTTTCATGCACAGTTAAAAATTTCGATCAACCGTGTGTCTATTTATGAATCAGCGACTCAATACACCGCATACATTTATGTGAATTTCTGAAAAAAAAATTAAAATACACACAAACACACACATACACACCACACACACACAAACACACCACACACACACAAACACACAAACAAACACACACACTAACACATACACACAGTTATGGAGTTACAACACATGGAAAGAAACAATATATCATTCTTATGAAAAGGCAGTGTTAAAAGAATATATATATTGAAACATACAACAATTGTATACAAAAATATACAGCCACACACACAAAAACATATACACGAAATACAACAACAATATATACATAAATGTACAGCAATCATATACAAAAACATACAACAATATATACAAAAACATATAACAATATATACAAAAACATACAACATTCTTATACAAAAAATTATAACAACACACACAAAAACATACAACATATACACGAAATACAACAACAACAACATATACAAAAACGTACAACAATCATATACAAAAATATACAACCACACACAAAACATACAACAACACACATACAAATATACAACAATATGTAAAAGATCATACAATAACATATACAAAAACCCATAACAATGTGAAACAGCATACAGCATAACATACAAAAACATATACAAAAAACATACAACAAACAAAAACATATAAATGCACACAAAAACATACAAAAACATAAACATAAAAAAATACAAAACATACAAACGACTTACAGGTTGTATGCTGGTGAACAAGCAACATATCCGAGCAATTAAACAAATGTTATGATCTCTGACAAATTTTTTAAAAGATTGAGTGTAGGGCAGAGCCTTTTATAATCATTTGCTCGGAGCAACGTTACTACACACACACACACCACACACACACACACGCACACGCACACACACGCACGCACACACACACACATATATAACATTTATAACGTATATATTGTTTACATGTAAGTCTCCTAATTCTCTTTTTAAAAATGTATAGCCAATAAGTATTAATTACTAAATTATGAACAGTGCGATGTATGGTATATTTGTATGTTATATGCATGCAACAACTTACAAACATTCAATTCAATACGTTGCATATGTGTATGTGTATCTACGTGTGTGCGTGTGTGTGTTTGTGTGTACCTGTGTGTGTGTTTGAGTGTGTGTGTGTGTGTGAGAGTGAGTGTGTATGTGTTTCAAATGATAATTTTACAACCAAAACAATTGTCACCCAGATATAACTATAGCACGAATGAAAATCTAACTATACACACAATTATATATCCTAACCCTCTACCAACAAAAAGTTCGAAATTTCCAAATTTAATTTCAACATTTTGGACGCCACTTTTCAGGTGGTCATCGGTGGCCCGAACTTCACCACACCACGCCACGCAACGCCACGCTACGCCACACCACTTGGGCTGCTTTTCGCTGCTGTTGCATCTTGACTGGCCTTTCATAAATATTTCTGTATGATAAGCAGAGGCACCCATCAACCATCAGTTTTTTATTTACAAGTGGAAGGTTTGTGATGTAGTCTATGATTATAGATTTTTAAAAGATGGTGGAATGGTTAAGGCGCCTGGTCCTGGCGTTGCAGGGATTAAGTTCGAACGCATAAAGATCCCTATCTATCACGTGGAATGTGCGTGTGTGTGTGTGGTGCGTGTGTGTGATGTGTGTGTGTGTGTATGTGTGTGTGTGTTTCGATCCCTCTGTAATTTAATAAAGCGAAATTACTTATTGTGCAGATGGGATAATTTCTAAACGGTAAGATTAACAAATAATGATTGATAATATTAATTAAAATATGAGAGTAATAATAATAAAATAATAATAATAAAATAATAATAATAAAATAATAATAATAATAATAATAATAATAATAATAATAATAATAATAATAATAATATAGTAATATAATAATAATAATAATATGATAATAATCATTAGAATTCACATGACGCAAATGATTAGTCATATAAAAATGGATACAAATATTGAAGGTTAGTCTATAAAAAATAAAACGAATGAATGAATGAATAAATGAATGAACGAACAAATGAACGAACGAATGAACGAACGAATGAATGAATGAATGAATAAACGAACGATCAAACAAACAAGAGGTCCTGGTGTAATAAAAGTGTAGAAAGGTGTCCGCCCATGCTTATATAGTTTATAATTACATTTTTTCCCCTTTTTTTCTTAAAAACCTTTTTTATTTTTGGCCAGTTTTATTGAATTCTCAGAGTACCAATTGGGAAATTCTGGTGTCAGTCGACGGCAAAGAGCTGGCAGCGAAAGATTTCATCGTGAAACATTCACACGGACTTCGGAGTATTCGTTTGATGGTTGTCGCTTGCTTGTTTGTTTGCCTATGAGTAACTATGTTTCTCTCTCTCTCTCTCTCTCTCTCTCTCTCTCTCTCTCTCTCTCCGAACGATGTTTGCATTATGATAACAAGATGGTAAAATAATAATTAAGGTTTCAGATTGCAGTTCATCGAACTTTGTCAATTTTGATCCATTAACTTTTTGTATGTTTTTAAATTTAAAAATTATAGTAAGTATTTCTGCATTGTATTTTACACATGAATAGACACAAAAACACAAACCCCTTAACACCTACACACACACACACACACACACACACACACACACACACACACACACACACACACACACACACACACACACACACACACACACACACATATATATATATATATTTATATACACACACAAATATATATATACACACACACACATGCATGTACACACACACACACACACACACACACATACATTGACTTAACCCATTTTACTATGAGCCACAGATACACTAACTTATTTACGTAAATTCATTTGAAAAATAACTTTTTATTATATGTAAATAAATATACAAATTAATAAATAATTAATAATTAATTAATTAATAATTGTGTGGTGTGTACTAAAATTAGCTTAAATAAAATATAAAGTAAGGTTGGCCAAGTTGGTAGAGACGCCATTTTTTTATTTTAAACCTTTTAACTCGCGCTAACCTGCTTCGAATCCTGTCTGTGCGTGCAAAACTAGATTTACTAACTTCATTTGGCAATATTCAATTTTATAATGAACATCTCAACACGGATAGTCTGTCTATTAATTTAGAAATTAATAAATGTTTAAAAGTCTTTTTAATGAAACGAATTTGATGCAGTGTTGATTTGCTGGTAGAAGGTTTGGAGAAGTTATAAAGAGTATTATCATCGGATCGAGTTGCTCTTTATGAGAAAATTATCACTCTTTAGCCCTAATACTAATGCTGGGAACTGTATGACCCTGAAATCCGGATCTAAAGATGGGACTGCCCAGTCATCATGGGGTTATTAACGGAGAGCACATCTCCAATCATTGTTATTCATCATATACACTGAAGAGGATTGCGCGTCAGTATGTAATGAATAGCTCACAATTAGCCAAAAACTCTTCAAATACTAAGATCTAAGTATTAAATGAAAAAAATGAAAAAAAAAGAAAAAAAAACAAAATGAAGTACATACTGGAATGATCAAATGGCGCCATATGATTAACTTCAATTAATTGATTATCTTGATTATTTGTTATCTTCGCTATCTTTACTATATTTGTAATCGTTTGGATTCTAAAAATTTCTTGTATATACATGAGAGACAGGAGTAGCGAAGTTGTAAATGTGATTTATATAGTTACTCGGATCAGTTTATCCTTTCTATAACTGCTGGTATTCAAATAAACGTTCAGCAGAGTTTGCTTGATTGATTAGAGTTTGCGTTTGAAGCAGTTGTGTTGTATGTTGTGTATGAATGTGTGTGTGTGTTTTGGTGTGTGTGTGTGTGTGTGTGTGTTCGTCTATTGGAGATGTTGAACCTACGTAATAGCGAACACTTGACGATCTAACAACGACAACAACAACAACACAACAACCACCACAACAACAAAAACAAATACTTACTACTTACACCACTACTACTACAACAATTACTACTGCTACTACAGCTACTAGTACATTTGCTGTTGATGTGGCTACTTCTCTTACTACAGCTGCCAACACTTCACTTCATACTGTTGTTATATTTCCAGTGACAATAAATGGTTGTGTGTGGGGTTGTGTGGTTGTGTGTGATTTTTTGTGTGCGTGTGGTTGTGTTTGTGCGTGTGGCAAAACCGGATACATATCGGCCGTTAACTAATGTTGGTGATTTCTATCCACAGTCGATAACTGATCGATTTATAGAGCAATAAATGAATCGAAATGTGTGCGGCTCTGAAACTTTTACACACCACACACACAAACGAACACGTCACACTTTCACACACAAACACAAACACCTACACACACTCACACACACACACATGACCACACACACACTCATTCAAACACACACACACACTCACTTACTCACAAACACATGACCACACACACACACACACACTCATTCAAACACACACACACTCACTTACACATGACCACACACTCATTCAAACACACACACACACTCACTTACTCACAAACACATGACCACACACACACACACACACACACACACACAATATATGTGTGCATATGTATATGAATTGTATGCATTTGTACGTTCACGGGCTTATGTCTGTGCACTTATAGAACACACCAACATATAAGAGAAACCCAAAGACGTTTATTTTGTTAGACCGAATACTAATAACACCATAGATTAGACTGGCTATTGAGGAAGAAGGATTGCTCGCAGTTGGTTGGAAGTCAGTTGGTTGGTTGGAATTTTAAAATTATTATCAACAGGCCAACTAAAAACATTTACTGGATTTATTTGGAGAGAATTATTTCTAATACTACTTAAAAACATTACCTTAAAAATTTTGGATTTATTCAGTTTTCGAAAAAACTTAAGAAAAATCGTTATTAATCTTTTAATCTTCATCAGTCATTTGTTATACCTATCATTCTCTCACCACACACACACGCATACACAAACACACACACGCAAACACACAAACACACAAAAAACAGAATAAGGCCACATTCAGAGCTACCTCTTCCCAAAACTCAAAATCATTTCACAAAAAAGTATTCCGAACTATTTTTACCGGGAAAAAAAAATTTCAAGTTAATATTTTCCATCATAGGAGATGACTACACGCGACTTCGTAATACGACTCGCCATGACCGCACTTATCAAAGTGTACACTGAGGTCAAAACCAATGCTACCACAGCTGCCCAGAAACTTCTTCCAAAATGCGGAACACCTAAAAAGACGGGTTTTTTTTGATACCGTGTTAGTTCCAAAAAATGTAATAAATTCATGTTTCATTTTGTCATGCTAAACATGCCATGTTATAATGTCTAACGTCACTCTTTGTAAGGTAACATAATGTAACATGATACATGTTATCATAGCAGTTTTTAACACAATATATAACACAGCGTATAACACAGATTATCATAGCAATGTATAACACAATATACAACACAGCATATAACACAGGTTATCATAGCAGTGTATAACACAATATACAACACAGCATATAACACAGGTTATCATAGCAGTGTATAACACAATATATAACAAAGCATATAACACAGGTTATCATAGCAGTGTATAACACAATATATAACAAAGCATATAACACAGGTTATCATAGCAGTGTATAACACAATATACAACACAGCATATAACATATGTAATCATAGTAATGTTTAACACAATATATAACACAGCGTATAACACATGTTATCATAACATAGCCCTAACCCAATTCAATAAAATATTATTTAACGTTTCGTTATGTTATAGCACATTTTAAAATATAAATATGTATATATATAATTAGCACAATATAGGTTTTAAATAAATAAATAATTCAACAAATAATTCCTTTAATAAATAAACAAACAAATTAACAATTTAATATTTAATTAGTGATTAAATTAATTAATTAATTAATTAAGTCTCAATGAACTAGCCAACCTTGGCTATCTAGATGGGTGACTCCGTACGTCATGTAGGAGTCCAAGGTGAATATGAGGACTGCTGCCACTTTGAGTGTGCACGCTGGGAAGAAGTTTTTTTTAAAGATGATTAGAAATGATGAGGATGATGATGAGGATGATGAAGATGATGATGACAGTGGGGGAGATGATTGAAAAGGTGATGGCGGTGGTGACGATGGTAATGATGATGGTGGTGGTGATGATTAAAATGATGATGATTAGGATGATGGTGACAATGGGG